GACCTCAACACTAGCCAATACTAAAATATCCAAGATTTTTTCCAGCTCATACAATAACATGTTACAACCTCTACACATAAAATATATATTTTTTTAAAAGAACAGATAAGTACAATATGTGCAGAATCCACAGTCAAAAGCATCACTAAAGGGTAGCCAAACTGGGTATAGTTTCAGAGTCTACTTCTATTGATTGTAACAACATTGATATGAACCTTTCTTCACAGCATCTACTTCTGGAACCAATTTAGTAATTGACAGAAAGAAGATAGTTATAATGTTACCTTTTTCCAAACCAAAAAAAGAAAGAAAGATGATGGTACATGAAGACATGAGTTTAAGAAGCAAGATAAGAATTTTGATTCACCAAGCAACATGACACACCTAACAACTCCATTTAGCACAAGATGCTGAGAAATAACACTAGTAAACAATTACTAATGTGGAAATAGGAAGGAGTGCTCGCCAATTGCATTAAACTAGTTTACCTGGAATAGCTCAAAATTGAACCGCTTTAGCATCAAATTGTGTGAGTTATCATTTGACATAACAGTGTTTTTTATCTCCTCGGGTGCATCTCTAAAGAATTCTTCCTCAGGAACAAGTTCAATATCAGCATATTTTGACCTGAAATCTTTGCAGGCCTTTATAGCTTTCACATAATGACTTTTTTCATACATCAAGTTGTGGAGCTGCAGCGTGGTGAAGTCCACAGGAGCTTTTGCACGTTCAGTTTCCCCCTTCACACGATCCTCTTCGAGCAATATTGATCTATTTGCCTATGGGAGGATGTTTAAGGTAGTGTGAAAAAGTTAGTTGAACATATTAACATAGATATCCAGGCACAAATTACTTTCATGCATAGATTTCATGGAACAATTATTTTGCTATTCAGCAATCCTAACGTTGGTTAATTGAAACAACTTAAGAATGGTTAGATGAAATAAGACAGCCCAAAACTTTCCACAAATTTCAAGGATAAGTACCTTACTCAAAGTGTGGAGCTCAATAAATCAAATAAAAATATACAAATCTAAACTTCACATGGAATATGTGCAGCCTAACAATAATAAAATGCAACCTTAAGAGACATTATATGTGTAATTTGCAGTGAAGCATGTATCAAGTTTGAGAAGTAAAGCAATCAAGCAACAGTATCATTCAATTAGAATTAGAGTTTAAATACAAGAGGATACAACCAACTCCCCAATATTAAGGCTACAGCCTAACAACTAGACCTAATCTTCAAGAACAAATTGTTGGAATTCCTAAAGTAATACACTCTCACAGGGCCGTATATTCTTCGTGTTGATCAACGATGATTACAATATCGGGTACCCCTGTCATATATTTAATCCCGCCCAGATATGTTTGCAAGAGAGATAATTGTCTTTTCAACAAAGCTGCATCTCTTTCCGGAGACAGTTGAGTCTCCCTATTTTTTGTTCCATTCTCAAGTCCCTGAACTTATGAAGTCTTGTTTCTGTAGTGGACAAATTCGTTAACATACTGCCAAGCCATTTTTTATTAACATAATGACACCGGGCCCTTATTGCAGCCCACTCAACAGAATCAGCTGCTTTATTTTTGGTACCAACAATTAAGAATTGTTTTCCCCTACTTGCTGCGTCAAAAACTAAATCACAGGTTTCTGATAAAAAACGAGCAGTTCTAGTAAGATTTGCAATATGAATACCCTTACGCTTTGCAGAGATATAAGGCGCCATTTTAGGATTCCATTTCCTAGTACCCATGACCAAAATGAAATAAATTGTTATGCCATAACACAGCTGAACCCAGACACAGTTTCATCCTATGGCTGAGTCTACAGGGAAGCTAAAAACTAAAAATTTGCTCTTGAGATGGGGACTCGATGTATATCCTTTTTGCATCTTCTGCAGCACTGAAGTCGAGACTGGAAGTCACCTATTTTTCAAGTGTCAGTTTACTAAAGATATATGGAGCGACATACTCAAATGGCAGAAAAGGATCAGGGGAATACTGGAGTGGGAACTTGAATGGAGTTGGATGCAACAAAATTCCAGAAACAAAGATCCAAGGAAAGATGATACTTAAAGCTAGTCTAACAATGGTGGTTTATGGTATATGGCCGGAAAGAAATAGACGGATTTTCCAAAACACAACCATGCCTAAGGAGAAACTAGTACACTAGATGAAGCTATCTCTGAGCACAAGAACTAGGAATAGTACGAGGTTGTTTAGATATATAGAATCACTAAATGAGTAGTAACTATATTTGCCATCTATTTTGGTTTCTAGCGGATGAGATGAGAAAGGATTGAATGGTTAATTCATCCTAGCTTTGTAAAGAGTTCACCTGGTAGTTGGTAATTAAGAAAAAATGTTCCTTTAATTGACAAAAAAAAAGGAACGGAAGCACATGTACATAGTTCTTTTCGTTTGCTATGTGCACGTAGATTCAATTACTCAATAAATAAAACTGAGTTGAGATCACCAACCAGAGTGATCAAAGATATATAATACTAACAGATATTTTGCGGGATGAAAATCGAATAAAACGGAGGAAGGTCGCAGTTTTCTAAATCCTGCCAATTAACTATGCATAGACTCCCTCCATGATAGTCCCAACTCAACTAGTGCCAGGGCAGCTGTACCTAAAAAGCACAGGTCTCCGGTAAATCTACCTACCAAGGCTTAGAGCAATTCTCACTGAGTATTGTAGCTGAGTCCATTGAATTACATCAACCAGCATTCATACGGATGATACATATATATAAAGATTGAGTCTAGAGTACCAACATTACATTCATCTTCGTTTGACTAGTTTTATCACTTCGTTAATAACAAAATGCTACCTTTACTTGAAAATTGGATTGACGAGCGGATTATTTAATTGGAAACTGAACTCATAAAACTTTCAAAAAAGAACAATTGGAGATGCAATGAAATATTAACCTGACGGAGAGAGACGAAGTTGATGAAAATCTGAGTGACAAGTTCGCGAATTTCAGATTTCGGCGTGCTTTCTTTCTTCATAGAAAGCATTTTCGAGACGATTTCCTCTACTGAAGCTTTGCTTTGCTGCAGAACCTCGTGCGGCGACCTTTCCGGCTTGTGCTCCGGCAGTATCTCGCCGGGTTCCCCCATGGTTACGTCCATTTTCATCTTTACTCAGTCGCTTCCTACAGGTTTAAGTGGTACATTAGGCTTCTGGATGTGTACGCTACTAGGGTTTGATCCGTTTACTCTTGCTCGAGTGCCAGCCTTTCGGTCTTCTCTTCTTATTGCTTCTTTTTTAAGCATTAATTTCCAGAATTTAAAAGGAAAAAAATTTAGGCAAAAGATTTTTTTTTTAAAAAGTTATGTTTTTGTTTCCAGATGTTCTTGCATTTCTCAAAACTTGTTTTCTATGTTTACATTGTTTACTTTTTTTCATAAAATATAAAATAATTTTAGCGGGTTATTTATTTTGTTCTTTAATTTGTCGGAATGCTTAATTTTGAAGAAGTTGGTGAATTCGGTGGTTCGTCATAACTTCTAGCAAGCAAACATAGTAACAAAAGTTTTATTCAAATTAGGTTCCAAGCAAACAATACCGATCAACCGCTTATCCTACTAACTCCTCCGAATGTTGTAATTGATCAACTCTAGATAGACAAAGATATTATCGGGTAAACTAGTATTATGATCAACATGTAACAAATTAGCTTGTTTTGATAACTTACCTGTAATCACTAGTACTAACTGTGATTATGTATTGTCTAATGTTTAACAATATATAAAAATATCCCTTTTTTATCTAATAATAATAATAATAATAATTTGACTTCAAAAATTTAGTTTCACTTTTAATGAGATGATTTACCGTAGACACAATTACGTTTGCAAAGCACTTTCTTTTTTTCTTCATTTGCTTCATCTGTTTATTTAGGTGAAAATAGAGATATATGAAGCAAATCATCACCCTATAATAAAAGAGCGATCTATATAACATTTAAAATTGAATTAGAAAATAAATTTTCTTCAACATCTTGTTATCCATTCCTTTAATATTTCTGGCTCTCGAGAGTCTCTTTGTACGGATGATTGGTCAAAGTTACATGATAGTCTATAAGTATTATGATGCAACAGTTGTTGCCTACCCAACACAGTCATACAAAGTCAAAATTCACTAAACGCGATCACAATGAGATGAATAAGTGTTGGGGATTGGATGTGAGTAAAACTATGACATGGTTGAGATGTTAAGTCGACTTCCTTCCTTCTTTGTGGAGGTCCTAACCCCTATGTGTGAGCAAATAAAGGAGAAGAAAAAAATATATCAATTGAACCATCATAATTAGTGAACCAGTGTAAACTTTATTTTTCAACAATATAAAATACTAATCGCACTGACGAAAAGCTCTTAAAGCGAGGGAAAGAAATAGCGGGATCAATGTGTTCCAAGTGCTACTATCCTCAAGAAAAAGGAGAAGAACAAAATGTTTGAGCAATTTTTCTCTAACGGAATAACATTTTTCACAATTCACAACAAAAAATCAAAATGAATCTTGAAAAAAGTTTTCAAGGAAAATTAGAAATTTTGTTACTATCTTATTATGTTCTATAGGTAAGAAAAAAAAAATTATCCTAACAATGAAGAGGTAAAGGTTATAGAGGTAGGAGTGTAGGTAAGATGTGTTAGAGAAAGAACACCATCAAACTTATTTTCTCTACTTTCATTAGAGAAGTCATTTTCCTCGGTTGAGAAGATTTGTTATCTTGAAAAATATTTTTCAAAAATTTTAACCAAACCAAACAAGAGAGAATTGCAAAAAAAAAAACAATATTTTCCTTCCATACCAAACACATCCAAATAAGTGAACATCTGAAAGCACCTTCACAACACCATTCACGTTTAGCAACTGATCATGGACAGACATTGTTCCAAATCAACCAACTAGGCAAATAAGCAAACATTAATAAGCATGCAACAGAAACTGCTTGCCTTACACACTAGTTTCAACACTGATACCATACTAATAACACCTGTTGCATGGCATAGACTCTTCATTCAGTGAGCAGGCCCCAGAAGAGATAGAAGAAAGGCCCGATAATCACCAGAAGTCTCCGAATGAACAGCATCATTAAGAGATTTCTTATGCTTTTTCTGGTACTCTGCTTTTATATACTGCATATCAATCTCAGTTCGCGTGACTACTATCCTAATGAGAGTTGTATCATTCGTCCCCAAGCCCTTCATTGCCTTGTGCAACTCCTGCATCCGTTAAACATATGTAAGGTGCAGTACAGCCCAAGAGTTTAAACAATTTATTCATGTAAGAATTAGCATAAGAGAATGATTTACTAAATCTACGACAAAAATGATTGAACAGATTATAACAAACTACTAAGATTATTCTGAAGCCCCCAATGAAGGATGCTATAGCAAAAACATGAAAATCTTTAGAATCCCATTTCACGTCCAACTTGAGATATAGAGACAACAAGAATAAGAAGTATTTCAAAGTAGAAAGAGCAGTATGAAACTTGCCACATGAAAGAGAACAAATATCACAGTAAGTAAAGGCAATGCATCTAGATGAAACACAACAAGAAATTCGAGTCTAGTTGAAAGAACAGAAAATTTGGACAATAGTGGTCTCCAGCAAACCTCTTGGATAATTATAATCATTACCAATATGCACTTTAGCCACTTTTATCCTTGATTGGTATACATATCTCCAAAAGCAAGGAGACGAAGAAATCAGATAGGAGGAAGGGGATCATATATTAAGTATAACATCACGAAGTGAAATGACCATATGTCATCTACTAAAGATAACTATCATGATATTTGTCTTTGGACAGGTGTCAAGTGTTATGCTTGTAATATCTACTTCATTCCTCCTGATTTGACTATTTACTTTTCACTTGGCATCTTCAAAAGAGAAGAATTGAAAGTATTACTCATTCTACCAATTCAAGTGTTCTATGATTTGTCTTTAGAGGTCAAATTTGACTACTTTTTTCATTAATATGAAACGAAAACTTTAAAAGTTGAGGAAATCAAAATAGGCAGTTATTAATTCTTCGAGTACTATTGAATGATCTGATTTGTGCTTGGTAGGAGAGAAAATGTTTTATAGAAAACAAGTGATTTTCTTACTTATTTTCCGATGTTTGATTGATGAATGGAAAATAAGGGATTTCTTACTGCCTTGGATCCTTAAGGAAGTCATTTTCCACTAATTAGAGGAAAATATGTTCCTTACCAAAATGTTCTCTCAAATATGAGCAACCAAACATGAGAAAAATGGAAAACAATATGTGGAAAATGTTTTCCTTCATACCAAACACGCTAGTTACAAATGCCAAATACATTTAGACCAATTTAATAGGTAAGTGTTATAAGTCTGACTTTAAAGTTAAGTTGGTTCATCTAAGTCAAGGAAGGTAAAGAAAAAAATAACAGAAGTAAACAACACCCATAATTCCCAACCACAAACTCAACCCTCACATTAGAATAAAGAATGAAAAAGGGGACAATATCATTTAAGAAAAAGAAAGAGCTAGTCAGAAACATGAGTTCAAAAATATAATGATATATAGGCAAAATAGTCATCATGATTGTGACTTGATAAGAATTTAAGCAAATGTAACTTGTACCTTTGCAAAGTATGTTGCTGGATTCTCAGCACATTGCAAAATAGTCAAGAGAGCAAACTCAAAGAGTCCAGAGGTTTCACTTTTTACAGCCTGTAACAATTGCAATACACTGGTTAACTACAATTGGAAATTTGAATAAGTTTCCCAAATGAAGTCAGCTTACCTTTTTTAACTTCCTGGAATACATGCTGTGATAAGCAGAACTAACAGCAGCCAGGTGTGCCCTACTTCTTTCAGAGAAAATTCGTATAAAAGTCTTCTCATCAGTTCCCAGTTTCTTCTCCCCAGCTTTGTAAAGAGCTTTAGCATCATGATCAACCGAAGCTCTATCAACTTCTGGGCCTTCATAGCGCATTGTGGTTACATATGCTAGAAGCAACTGTAGTGATTAAGAGACAATAATATGTCAATATCTTCCTTCATAAGATTCAAATTTCAAGCAATGCGTGCAATTAGCTGTTTGAATTTTAGAGATCATACAAGGTAGAATCCCATTTGGGTAAGGCAAGACTCGAACCATACTAGACTCAGGTTAGGACCAGACAGATGCAACTCAGTTCCATTCAACGGACGCATAAGTTCCCAGTGCACAAAGGGTAAATGATATAAATACAAAACTTCTTTGAGAGTCCTTCATTTTCCCCTCATCTTTCTCAAAGACGATACCTTCACAAATAAAGTACCACAAACTACTATACCCATTTATTTACTTTTAGGCAAGGTTTATGGTAAGGTAATCCAGATTTGCTTTATGTTCTCTTCTTTCATTACTTGTAGTCATCATTTAAAGTGATCAAAGAACTCAAGTGGAGAAAAGGTTTTATTTCGTACAAATGCAAAGGGTAACTACCTTTTTGTGATCACCAGATGCGTGAAGCTCAATATCATGCTCCAGGTAGATACCATTCATGGAATGGTAAAGTTGTTTCAAATGTACTATTTGAGAAGGAGTCCGTGAACATATCACTTCAGTGGCAGCTCTGAGATCAATGGAGTCAGCACTCAAAGCTTGCCTTACTAGGGTAGCATCCCTTCCTGCTGGATCATACATCCATAGCAAGATTGCTTTCTGGAACCATTCAAAATGATAAAAAAAGATGAAGAAATGGGCTTGAAAGAAAAAAGACAAAAGGAGGAATCGCAAATTTTGCCACATGCAGTTTCATTTGTCTATGATGTTCCTTCTGCCCTAAATTTTTAAATCTTCTATTTGAATGCAATAAGCTTCAGGCCTCTAAAATTCTTGTTAAATGCAAATTATAGAGTTAGCAAAGTTATCCCAGAAATTTCGATCCTCCATCAATACAACAATACCTCAAGTTTACCGCTAAGCTCTTTGACCAAGCGTTTGGTTAGGTCTTCAGAATACATAGTTCTGTATTCCTGTTGAATAAGAGCACGCTGAGTAGCATCACGATGAGCAAGGATGTTAATGACCGCTGCTTTATCACATCCAAATCCTGCAAAACACAAACCAAGTAATTCACCAGAAGGCAAGCTGAATAGAAACACACTATAGCTTAATGAATCTTATAGCTTTTGAAGTCACCTTCTGATTTTCAACTACTGTATGCACTCATAAGACATTACATCAGAGATATCTTGACTTTGCATTTATTTTCTACTTTAGAGTACATACATTATAACCCCTGAAACTATACTAAAATGGGATGATGACATTTATTTGTTACCCTGATTGCACTTAAAGTTGAAAGTAGTATAATGTCCTCTAAGAATAGTTTACTAGGAATTCTGGAAGCAAAATGTAATCTTTTGTGTCCTGACTGATAATTTGTTTGGTTAAACGTAATAGATGTGATACAGAAACTATAGAGCCTGCATGAATAGAGAAACAAACTGTGTAGGTTAATAATTATCTCAAGGATAAACTATCCTAATGCCATGGGAGACACCGTGCTTTACTTGCCATACTTCATTGAGGCCTTGAAATAGGTGTTGAAGTGTGTGGCCATCTCATTTAAAAACTTAAGCGGTTAGAGAGAGCATACTTTTATACTCTGATACCATGTTGAAGTGTGTGACCATCTTACCTCCTAATAATTCTAGACAATTGCACCAATCCCCAAGTCAAAAACATTCTACCAAGAGAAAAAATTGCAAATTTCAATCTAATGTATTGATAATCATGGTGTCCGGGCCAGCTTTCGCGTAACTCTGTCCATCAAGGCTGGGACATGACAGATGAGGATAAATCACCTAGTGTTTCTATCTCGAGATTTCAAACCTGAGACATCGTGATTATCAACCCACTTTATTGACCACTAGGTCACACTCTTGGGCATTCAATTTCAATCTTATGTTGTGCTAAATTTCATCAACTCCTGCATCCTCTACATTTCCTTTTTGTTTATCCAAAGCATATACACAAATCTACACAGATAATCGGAGACAAAACTCATGCATCTCTAACGTAAACTGTTTGATAATGGACACTTCTCCTAATTATTTTACAAGTATTAATTCTTAAAAAAATCAAGGAGTATGGTTAAATTCTGTTTTTATTTTTAATTAAACAACATTAATTTAATTTTGTTAAAAAAGATACATGCTAGAACTACACATGTGATGTGCTTTCTCCCGTGGTACAACAAAAACAAGCTATTAGCCAGCCGGCCTTCTGAACTTTCCTTTTTATCAGGCTTGAAGCTCTTAATTCAATGAAGCAGCAACTCATCCTCAACAAAATTCAAAAACTTTAGGCAAAAAAAACGGGAAAGTTATCCACAAAGCATGATGAATTACAGTACAGAAGAGAAATCAAAATGAAGCAGAATAGTAGTAAACCCTAGAAAGAAGAGATCGGAATTTAACCTTTGAAAGCTTTGTAAAGGTGCATGGCATCATCGCGAGGCGTAGTTAAAACTGGAGGAATACTCAGAGTAGCCATTTTCTCTCTTCTCTGTTTTCCCCTTCTTTTTTTCTCTCTCTGTTGAATAAAAAATTAGGGGAAAATTGAAATGCACACGCTTTTGTCAACTACTCCAACAAGACTTTTCCTAAAAATATTCCCAACAAACTCTACTCTAAACTTTTATTTTTCTTTACACGTCAAATATAAATTCGATTTATTTATTAATCTATCAAAATTATAATACTACTATCTCCGTGTATTTTTAATTGTCATAGTTTCATTTTTTAGAGTCAAACGATAATAATTTTGACTAAAATTTTACGATGTATTTTTTCACTATATTGATATGCAAAAAAATGGAATTTATAGTACTTTTCGTATAGTTTTTGAATATCTAAATTTTTTATTTAAAATATCAAATTAATGTAATCTAATTTAACTTTAAAAATTCGTCAAATTGACTTTTGAAAAACGTAACATGATAATTAAAAGTGGACAGAGAGAGTAATATAAAGCACTTATTTTGGAATGAAGGATGAAGGAAGTATATATTTAGTCAAAATTAAATAAATAATATGATTTAGTGGAATGTTTCATAATATGAAACCTAACTACCTAAGTAATGATATGCGATCTTTAATTTTAAGAATTGTCAATAAAATAATATTGGAAAATCAAAAAGATATGATCTTAATAAATTTTGGCATGTAAATATGAAAGAATAAAAAAGTTGGACTACTTAACAAACAGAGTTGGAATTTTTGTATATTGATTGCCTTCCAATTTTACAATTGTCCCTATATTTTTATAGGAAATTTGCGGAGAATAGCAAATATTTGAACGATATTAAATGTTATAGTTATTGTTTTGGAAATTTGTGATTTGCAGCTATAGTTTTCTCAATTTGTTTGTATAAATCATAATTTGTATAATTCGGTTCCTGATAATCCAGAATTTGTATATGCTTACCCTAGCTATTTGTATACGATTTATGAAAAATTCACAATAAATTATCTTGTTTGTATATTGGCAAGCGAAATATACAAACGGAGTTCTGAAATTTTTTTAAATGTATAAATACATAATTTGTATATACTTACCCTATTTATATGTTCGCAAGAGAAATATATACAAATGGACAAGCGAAATATATAAATTGCGCGAAATATACATATCGCAGCCTCCATAGCAAACAAAACTATAGTTATGGATGTAATTATCAAAACTATAGTTATATAGAGGCTTATTATGTCTATTATATTTGCTATTTCTGAAATTTTCTTTTCTTTTTATGAAAAAAAAAATGGAACCTTATATTCTAAGTGCTATACCAGCTGTAATTGGCTCAACCTATTAAAAACTTTATTCTCTTTCCATGTATATGGATATTATATATAGTGTATATCTAACCTATATGCAGATTCCTTGATTATTGGGGAATTTATACGATATGATCTGCTGGTTTCACTTATTCGAATCGCGCATCTTACTGGCCCAATACATGAGATTCTTTAGCCCAGAATACACAACGACCTTATCATCATTTTCAGACTAGATAAAAGGGTTGGTCTTGCTATTTGATGAAACCAAGGTCAAATATTGTGACACCCAACTTACTATTAGAAGTTTCAAATTGGCAAAACATAAAAGAGATGTTGGGTATATAAATAAACAAGTCTTATATTTTAGTAATGTTTTCTTAAAGTTGTGCAGACCTAGGTCCAGAGCGAACAATATTACTAATGGGCTGGGTCGTTATAGATGATATCAGAACCATTGTTATGCCAACTTATCAATGTGAGCCAAAGTTCAACTGCTTTTAGGCAAATCACAATAAGACGGTGCAAACCTGTAGACAAGTTTCGGGCGGTAGGTACATGACACCCTAAGAGAGATGGTGTATGTGACACCCTAACTTAGATTAAGAAGTCTCACATCGACAAAATACAAAAGGAGACGTTGGGTATATAAGAAAGCAAATCTTACAATCTAATGTCATTTTTTAAAGTCATGCAAGCCTAACTCCAAAATGGATAATATCACTAGCGGACGATCAATGGATTGGGACGTTACAAATACGAAACCGGCCGTTGTATGTTTCTTTTTCCTTCTTTACTTTATAAATCGCGTATCATCTTCTTTACTCGTTAATTATCATCATCTTAATTCAAACATATGCACTAAGCAACTAATAACCAACAAAGTAAATATCGCAATAATGACATTACATATTAAGAAGAGGGAAAAAAATTCAACTTTCTTATGTAATGATGATACTCATTAACTTTATACGTTTTTAAATCATGTTAATTCAAAAGGACTCATTGTTCGAGAGAATGCTGTTGTTGGTCATATTAGGATGAAAAAGCTCGGATATAGTGGCGGAGCCAAGAATTTCACAAAGGGTGTTAAAAAAATAAGGAAAAAAATTGTTACTAGTGAGATTTGAACATATGAGCACTTAGGGCTCTTTCAAGGCATCTAAAACTACTAGGCTACAACACCCTATTCTATCAAGAGTGTCCAAAATATGTTATTTAATCATTTCGTGTATTATTTTACTTATATATATGATATTATTTTCTGATGAAGGACTATAGGATAGCTACGCCCCTGCCCCGATGGAAATGTTGTCGCATTATTTAGTAGGCATTTCGCCATAAATTTCAAATATTTTTCATTGGAATTTATGGAATTGAAATTGAAGATGAAATTGTATTTGGGTATATTTTTCACAATAATAGGTGGATACAAGATAAATAATCTTGAGATTTTAATATAAAATTTATTCTAATTTTACTTGATACCAAACACCGGATAAAATTGATATGGGATAATACCTAATCCCTGAAACTAAAAAAAAAAAGAAGGTGACGAACAAGGATTGTGGTCGTTTGATAGAGTGTATTGGAGAAAATAATGCTTGCATTAGCTTGATGTATTATTAGTATCTTGTTTGGTGCACTATTGTGTATTACTAATACCTTCTATTTATATACATTAGTAATGCAATGAGTTCTAATGCATGCATTAACATTATTAAAGACACAACTGTCCTCAAAAACTTTTTTACATCCTTTTCACTATATTTGTGGTGGGTATTTTTGTAAACAAATATTTTTTCTAAAAAAATTATGTAATGCATGATACTTTTAGTACACCAAATCAAACATTGCAACCAAAAAATCTCATCATAACTAATACAAGCATTACTAATACACTATATTTTGCATTAATTCTTAACCAGAGATTGAATCCTCTAGGGTACGAAATCGTATTTGTTAAGGAGCACTTGACCTTGTACCGTGGAACTTCTCAGTTCAAATCCAATTTTAATTAGATTCAACATAGATACCGAACAAGGGAAAAAAGATGCAATTTGTGGGAAAAAGGATCATTTTAAGCCTTTAGTCCAAATATAATGAACTAGTTTGAGCTTTTTCTCTATTTTTTCAAGGTCAAGAATGTCAAGTCAGTTAGACAAAATTTCAAACTAATTATGGCACCATCTAAATTGGGATTAATTTTTTTTGTGGTTCAAATAGACCAGATTTAATTTGTTCCATTGACTTGATTTTCCTGTTTGTGGGCCGTACCTAAAATATTTCAAATGACATCCTATGATTTATTTTTTTAATAAGCTTGCACGCCAAAGTAAATAATTGTGCAATTGGTTAATTTATGTTCTCTTTCACGCATCGTCTTTAATTAGGTGCTAGCGTGCTAGCTTAAACTTAATCAATTGGTCACAATAATTTCCTGATACTCATTTTATTTGTCACGTAAATATTTTTTTCCCGCACATTTCTTAAAATAAAATTACTAATTAAAGGTTAATTTGATTAAATTATCCTCATTTATTCTCTTGTTCACCATATAATAGTCTCTCTCCACATTTATTAAGGATAAAAATGAAAAGAAGAAGAAGTACTTAATTTTATCTTGGTCTTATATAATGACAATTATTTTAGATCATAAATTCTTAATAAAGATGACAAGTAAAATGAATCGAATGAGAGTACTTGTTTCATATCACAAAAATTTCTCAAATCCTAACGACTCCAATAGATTACAAGTTCAGAAAATCACAAATTTCACTTAATTGATTGCAAATTAATGGTTCGGTTTATCCCAATAAATTAAAGGAGTTATATTCTAGCTAATGAAGCAATTCAGAAGGTGCCAAATGTCAAATCCTCATAATAACGAAGGTTGATGAGTTCAATCAAATAACTTAACGAGTATGAAATTACAACAACCAAAAAAAATAATATACTACTGTATTTCAATATCGATAGAGACAACCTAACAATTTAGGAACTTAGTAGCTTAATTAGTTGACTATCTGAACTTTTAATTTGTTAGTGACGGTTCGATTTGCCATAATATAACCACATTACCCCTTCCCCTTTCCCCTCCACCCAATTTTGAAAAGAAAAAAAAAAACACAACATTTTAAACTAGCATATTCAGGATTTGAAGTTTTTGAATTTTATTGAAGTACAATATATTGTCATTATTTAAATATCAATATAATGAAAAAAAACTTTTTAAAAATGTTAGTTAAAATTCATATCATTTGACTCTCGAAAAGAAAATTACGAGAAGTAAAAAAAATGAAGAAAATATATAAGTTTTGATAAAAATTACTGAACTTTATCAATGATTATTTCTCATACTAGCTCCGCCCAACACATCTACATCTTAGAGGTTACCTATTCTATTTGTTCCAATTGATTTGTTTTGAATTTGACACGAATTAAAAATATATAAAATGTAAAAATATTCTTTAATTTTATAACCTTAAACATGTCATATAAAAACTTAAAATTAAAAAAATTATCAAAAAATAAATAAAATTATTATCATTTTTAAATGGAAAACTTTTATTGTCGGTTCTAAAAAGAGGACATTATTGCTCATATTCCTCTTTGAATTGAAACTGTACGTGCTGGACCCGTTGCTTGACAGATGAAAATCGGTTCCAACTGCCAAACATACTCTCCCGTTTTAATTTATTCGTCCTATTTATTTTTTCGTAGGATTAAAAAGTTCTTTTTTTAACTTAATAATAATTTAATTTCAATAATGTGTTTGTGATTATATGATTAAAAATATTT